GGGTCACAAGAAGCACCACCACAAGGAATGGATCACTGTTGGTACACTGGATAAGATTCAAGAAAGGAGGAACAAGAAGGCAGCGATCAATACCAGCCGAACAAGAGCAGAAAAAGCCAAGGCACAAGCTGAATACACGGAAATAAACAAACAAGTGAAGAGGAGCATCAGAATCGACAAACGCAAATATGTGGAAGATTTAGCAACGATGGCGGAAAAGGCTGAAAGAGGAGGAAACATGAGACAACTTTATGACACGATAAAGAAACTCGCTGGAAATTACCGTAAACCAGAACGACTAGTGAAAAGCAAGGAAGGCAAGGTAATCTCCAACGTTGAAGAACAACGAAACAGATGGGTAGGACACTTCAAAGAACTCTTGAATCGACCAGCTCCACTGAACCCACTCAACATCAAAGCAGCTCCACGGACCTCCCAATCAATGTTGGCCCACCAACAATTGAAGAGATAAGCATGGCCATCAAAAAAATCAAGAGTAACAAAGCAGCAGGACCGGACAACATTCCAACAGAGGCACTGAAAGCAGACGTAGCGGCAACTGCAAAAATAGTCCACATTCTCTTCAGCAAGATTTGGGATGAGGAACAAGTACCAACATACTGGGAAGAAAGACTACTGATCAAAATACCAAAGAAAGGCGATCTCAGCAACTGTGATAACTACAGGGGCATCACTCTTCTCTTAATACCGGAAAAAGTCCTCAACAGGGTATTGTTAAACAGAATGAAGAACTCCGTAGACGCCCAACTTCGAGACCAGCAGTCAGGATTCCGTAAGGATCGATCGTGTACAGACCAAATCGCAACTCTACGGATCATTGTGGAACAATCAACTGAATGGAATTCATCACTCTACATCAACTTCATTGACTATGAGAAAGCATTTGATAGAGTGGACGGAACAACACTATGGAAACTTCTTCGACACTACGGCGTGCCTCAGAAGATAGTCAATATCATACAGAATTCCTATGATGGATTAAACTGCGAAATTGTGCATGGAGGACAATTGACAGACTTGTTCGAGGTAATGACCAGTGTCAGGCAAGGTTGCTTACTCTCACCCTTTCTCTTTCTCCTGGTGATCGACTGGATCATGAAGACGTCAACATCTGAAGGGAAACGCGGGATACAGTGGACATCTAGGATGCAGCTGGACGATCTAGACTTCGCAGATGATCGCAACAACAAATGCAGGAGAAAACGACCAGTGTAGCAGCAGCCTCGGCAGCAGTAGGTCTCAATATACACAAAGAGAAAAGCAAGATTTTCCGATACAACACAACATGCACCAATCCAATCACAATTGACGGACAAGATTTGGAAGATATGAAAACCTTTACATATTTGGGCAGCATCATTGATGAATGTGGTGGGTCTGATGCAGATGTAAAAGCGCGGATCGGTAAAGCAAGAGCAGTAACAGTAAGCAAGGGTAGCAAAGATAATAATACAGTGTACAATGTGAAAACCACGTTGAATATTAAATCAGTGTTAGCAGAGTAGATTAAATGTAAGAACAAATTGAAAGCTTCTCTAGGATTTTGTGTGTGATGTTGAATGATAAATATCTAATCAGTACTCACTAAATAAAGTAATAATGAACTTTTAATATATCTAATCAATCTTTATTTACCTGCGCTGGATAGTGTTTAAAAAACTGAGAGTGACCTAGTCTGTTCGTTTAGCCTATGTGTCACATGCTGAGAGAGAAGATAAATTTATAAGTGAATGTATAAAAGTGTTTAATTTGGACGGAGTATCCCTTACTTAAATTAGTAGTAGCCAAAGAGAAATAAACAGTCTATGTTAGTCTACGGAAAGATTTCGTGCCAGTAATATTTCTTACAACAACACTTCCTTAACCTTACTCATACATAATTCGTAACAAACCATTGGAAAAATTGTTCTTTTTTAACATACAAACACAATAAATAAATATGTTTTTATTCAGTCACTTATGGTTTTAACTATTCAACAAAAAGTTCCATGCTATTTTAATGTAACTATTTTTTATACTACTAACAGTAATTAATTTGTATTGAGTAGTTTTGAAATAAAAATATTAAGGATTGAAAAGTCACTAAGTATGTCATACTTCTTTCTTATATCATCCATACATCAGAAGACTTGAGTGGAGAATCAAGTTTTGATCATTGTTTTTTAAATTTCATTTTTATTCACTTTGAAATCTTTCAACAGTAAAGGGTTAGCGACAGTTGTCACTATGCTTAAGACTTTGATACAGTATTAAGCGGTATCTTCAGTCTTAAGGCAACTGATTATCTTTCTCTAAAATTTGAACATGTGCTACCTAGCGTGATAATCTAGCTTTTTAAGATAATACCAAGCTTTTGTATGGTAAATATGTTTATGCCAATCGATAGTTTTAATGAAACTGTAACTGCAATTGAGTTCTATCGATATCTACGTTTTCCTGAATTTAAAATTATTTATTGGTTAGATATCGAGGTTCACAACGTTTTTTAAATTTACAGCCATATATCCTCATATTTATTTTATATTTTCAGACATTTAACTCAGATACATAGATAAAGATTAAAATCTTTGGCTTGGTACGGAATAATGACTTCAGGTTTAATTATCTGAATTAGTTTACGTATAGACAGAATCTTGGATGATTTAGTGACCTGCGTGACCGTCGTTTCAATTTTCACCATGTGGAAGTGTTTTTTTAACTGTCAACATTCTAGTTTAATAGTAATTTTTATTCGACTTATTATAAAAGCAGGATATATTTTCCCAAAATGTAAATATTATAAAGTGCAATTTAATTGTCAGCAAAACCGACACAAATGCTCCACTTGGAGCTACTGAGTAGTGATGCCAAACTTGCTAGCTAATTCAGAGAGTTGTTGAAATTTCAACTAATCCACCAATTTATTCTGTACGTGGACTACGTAAAGTTTACTCTTCGAGGCTTTAAAAATCGTAACGGGCTGTCTGATGTGTACGCTTATGTATATGAATTGCATGATTCTTGGCTTGTGAAGTTTATGTATGTAGGTACAAGCAGAAGATATGCACCTGAGTTAGTACAACAAATGTAAGCTGAAAAATGTTTGCATCATGTCTAATAAAACCAGCGCCCTTATCCTTCAGGTTAAGGAGATAATAGAAAGATATAGTAGTAAACATCAAGGGGAGGTGACCACCAACCCTTCATGAGAGAGTGCTTATGGCTATGTAAATATCGCAAAGTGTATGTACGAAAGTCTTTGTACCAGTGATAAGCATGTAATGCTTAAGAACCAGTCAGTATAAAATACGTTCGAAAATAGCGGTGCCCATCTATCTTTCAGGTGAGTGAATATATTTACATGTATACTATGGGCTGCAGGGGTGAGAACTTGTGTGACCGGTATGCATACAGACTCTAGTAGCCCTGGAGGTACCAATTTCTTCCTGCAATCATATCCACGTGGTGGGTTTGTGAACCCTTAAAACACAGAATCAAAATCCAGTAAAAGCACACCGGCTTCATCAGATAAGGATCTATCAACCTTAAATGGCTGGAACACCACATCACAACCTAATTATCAGTTAATTCAATTCTCTTGTAAGTTGGGCATTAATCTGTCAGAAGAACTATTTATGATGTCAGTGTTTTAAATCCTGCTATACTACGGAGAACAACATAATAATGAACAAAATGAAGAATAACACGAATTAGAAGTTATTGTAGTGATTTGAAACTTACATTTATGGTCGAATAGGTTGATGGCTTTTTGTTTTTTGTTGTGATGGGTAATTTGATCAAAGTTTCAATTGAGATTATGAACCGATCAGTGTTAGCCTATCACTGAAAATCTGGAAGCACTAGTTCATGATCTCAGTTTGATCAGAACTAGTAACCATTCAAAAAATGGATAAATATATTTCTGATATTTGTTGTAAGCATTAATCATTGATTGGTAAATAGGCCGTTTATGATTAAAACTATTTTCACAGCATAATATACTAAAAATGATAGCCAATATCTCCTGAGAGTTTTACATTTCCTAATGCTCAAGTCCGCTGTCATAAATTATCAATAATATGGGGTTTAGAGAAAATTTTAGACTTTCGTAAATTATATAACGGACTGCTCTTAATTAAATAACTAATTAAAACTAAAAATCACTAGATGATCGCGCAATATCGCCGACTGGTTGAATTTAAGCATGTATACGATTGAATTCCAGTCAGTGGTCTGAGGTTTATGTTCTCTCATGCGAAACCAAACTTCCCAGGTCCAGTCCCTAATGCGGGGTGAACGGACATTGCTGAGGAGTCCCACAAATGAGGTTAATTAACAAGATAACAAAAACTGAGTCATAATAAAATATATCATATACCCAGAAGACAGGGTAATTACCAAAAAGCTACCGTAATATTTTCAAGCCCAGAAATCAATCGCTTCCTGATCGTTGGTGCTGACTAACTTTTAGCAATTAAGCTTATAAGCTAAGCACTTCAATACTGAGGTATTCTTTTTATTTAATATGGTATAATCAAAAGTGGACAATGTGAAACTTCGAAACTTAACTCAGTGATTATTTAAATATACTCGAGTCCATAAAAACAGTGTTGAAAACAATCCATTTATCAAAAAATGAGTTAAAATCCAAGTGACTCATTGGATACAGTCATAACTGAGACGCTGTATGGAATGGGTTCGAATCTTCTAAGCTGAAATTTCCAAACACCTGTCGATACTAAGAAAGATAACTAAAATAGTATATTCTTAAAATACATGGCTATTTCGCATGGAAATGTAATTAATTTACTTCTAAATATTACGAAGATTTCAGAACGATCACATCTAACTGATCATGTATCAGTTTAAATATGGAGAATGCTTTAGTAGTACAAATATATACACATAAATGACTATGAAAAAGTACACAATAAAATTTCCGGAAAAACTATTCATTAAAACAGGAAACATCTTGATTTTTTATATTTTTAGTCACTTACCAATATCTGACGGAAGTTCTAACAATTTATAAGTTAATGATGGTTGTCTTTCTGGACTCATATCTAATACTTGTAATTCTCTTAACATGAACAATTCAGCTGGTACATTTTCTAAATCTTTTCCTTGTAATTTTAATCTCTTCAATCCTGGATACTCAGTATCATCAGTTTCAATATAAAGTCTTAATGATACATTTGTCATAACTAATGTTTATTTGTTCTTTTTTAACTGAAAAATGTTAATTTAATTCAAAATTGAAACAGATTACTATAAATAAATAAACAAGTAATTGATTAACTTTGATATTTGTACTGTTTTGTTTAACTGGTTACCAGGGTATTAAAGGTCATAGAGATTCGAGAAATCTAAATTCTGATTGGATAGAAACAGATGTTAAAATTAAAGAAGCTTTTATAAATAAATTATACAAAATACTACTCATATGATAAGATGTTTTTTTTAAAAATAAAACCGATAGTTGCAAATATAGAAGTAGCCAAAAATCTTATCAGGTTAGTTAATACTATGATAAGATCATAGAATTAAGTTGAAGAAAAATTTTCAATATTTTATTTGTCACAAAAAATGAAAAACAATTCACCAATGAGGAACTTTTTTTCTATAAATCAATAAAAATCATATTATCACTAAAATTTAGAGCAAAAAAAATCTACTAGGTAACAAGATAATAGTGACAATAATCTTAAAAAGATTATCAATTTTAACTGAATCATTAATATTATAAATAAATCATTTAAGATAACTAGAAATGAAATCTAAAATTGATCTTTTTATAGTTTAATATTAGCTAAAGAATTGTTAGAAACCAAGAATTATTGAATAGATATTTTGTTTCAGTCTTTAGTCTATCTACCTATTATCATTGTATAGTGAATGGAGAGTTGGTGAAATTAATCAATTTATTGTTTAGTACTAAATTACAGAATGTCTTCATAAATTATAAAAACTATACATTAAATACTTTATTTGCACATCTTCCATCAGTTATTCTTTACATCCTTCATGGTTTTTTTCCAATTCTCAATTTCTTTCTGTACTTTTCATTTCAATCATTTTAATCTTCTTTTGACAAGTATTTCACATCTGACTGATGTTACATACTGCTTACACTTAAAAAATATAAATAGCATACACTACAAGTGCTCACCTCTTCTACTAATTCAAACTATAGCAAGCTCAGATATAATTTATCTGAAAGTAGAAATAAATCATTGGCCGATAATTTAATCTGTACAATCATACAGTATTGAAAATAAATTTGTCGAAAAGGAATCTTTCGATGAATAAACTGTTTTACAACTTAACGAATATATATTTGAATTAAATTAATCTTTAGATTTAAAAAAATGATTTATATTACAATTCATTTATCCATTTCCTCCACGTCCTTATATCTACTTTTAACATGTGTCAATTACCCTGCTTCTTTAATGTTGTCGTGTGTGCTACTGATGTCGACAGATATAAGTAGTATATATCATAAATCGAAGAAGAAATGCTCGATAGCAGATGGTTAAGATGATCGAAGAAAAGAGAATGACAACAGAGAGTGATTGATGTGGAAAAGAAGAATCAGTCAAATCTGAGATAACTGATTGACATTTTGCAGGTGAAGTACTTACTGTATGGTTCTCAGATTTTACTAAGAGATTCTGTAATTTGTGTTCAAACACATTCGATTGTCCCCACGTTTGTTCGCGTTCACTACAATACGAAGGTTAAACCCGTTTCATAGAATCATGCTACCTAATCATTTAACATGAAAGATCATTCTTGATAGGAATTTTATTACTTTTTAAAAATTTAATTATAATCACTTAGTAAAATAAACTATTCAGAATAATTAATTTAAATTTTTAAAATTCACTCTTTAAGTTAAAACTCCAAAGGTCGTTACAAATATTCGCGCACTTTTCACTTTATCGTTGTTAGCTTACTTAGTTATTGACTTACTCCTGTTACCCCTCGTGGAGGAGCATAGGCCACCCCACCTGGATTCTCCATCGTATTCTTTTAGCTAGAGTTACAACAAAACTACTACATTTTCTTATTCTTTATAATCGTTGGAGTCCTGGTCAAATTGTCACTAGAGGTACAGTCTGAATTCAATTATTAGTTATGATTAGCGATTACATCTGTCTATTTTAATTTAGTAGCCAACTTATTACTTAATATATTCAGCCACAATACGATAGGTAGGGGAAACTGAGAAGAAAACCTAAAAGAAAGATGGATCATTAGGACCAGAGTAAGATAAAGTAAGAAGTGAATGTAAATAAAATAGTAAAATAGACTCTAAGTTACATCTTTTAGTGTAAGTGTATATAAGAGATCTTAAGTATTAATTCCATGAAGTAATATCAATAGTTAATAAAAACGATGATGCTGTGGGAAGACTAGAATACATAATGTAAACAACAATCAATGTTTATTTAACTTCTGTATCCGCTAAAAATAATCTCCTTCATCTGGTCACCTCCCTGTGCATCTACTAGTTCACCTGCTCTCGTGTGCTATCCATGAAATAAAGCGTGAATTTTGACTACAAGATAAGTAAATTTCATCATTATCTGTATTGTGAACTTGAACTATTATTATCATTTAATTTCATTGATTGCGCATTTGAAAATGTTCCTGTCTCTTAAATTATTACCTATATTCACTTGATTGTATTCGTGATTGTTTCTGACATCGCTTCACTTAATATAATTCCTACGATACCTTTCATTATTTTTAATTAAGGATTTTAACCATCTCACTTCATTCACACTAAAATCCATTGTTAATCATTTAATTTTACACGCGTAACTTATATATTTTAAAGTAAAACATGTAAGTCACGTTATAATCACAAACTCCATGTTCTCATGAATCGAAAAATGTGCTGTAGATACCAATGATCGAAATCTCAAACCATTAGTATCCTGGTCACTAGCCAAAAAAGTTATAGTCGCGTTCAATTGTAGCTCGTTTATATTTGAAGTCTAGTGATACCATCTGGCAGCTCAAACTGATAGAGATTGAGTGTCATTTGAACAAGTACTGCCATAGTTCAGAGTCAAGAGATTATTGGAATATTCTGCAAACTGTAATGGATATTGTATCCACTCAACTAGGCACCGAACATTTATGTATTATTGTAGAGACCTATTTAGAAATTAGTTATTTAAACTTAGGCTACTTATCATCCGAGCGAAGTGATGAATATACCCAACCATATAAATAACATATGATGAAACTAATGACAGAAAATTACTTTGAACATGATTGTCGTGAAAACTTAATTGAAATTTCAATTTTCATCAGGACGATTTTGAATCTTATCAGTATTTCCATCTAACATGATTCTGTCATAACGGTAGCTCAAAATAGCTGTACTATACATCAATACTATTATCAATATATGTTGTACTAATTAGAAATATGGCAAAGGGACAAACATAGTGATATGCAAAAATTCATTATTTTCCTCCACAGATAATTAACATATCATTTGCAAATCAGTTAGGGCTTGAAATAATAGAAAGAGAATATACATTGTGACAGAATCATTTACTGAATGTTTCCAAATAATTTTCTTACACAAAGACTTATTTGTCCAGTCGTTAACGTAAGAGAACTATTTTCTTCACCGTTTTTAATTTAATGTAAAACTTCAAATGATAAAAGTTTCTTTATTATATTTTCAAGATTTTTAACAACAATTTTTACACACATGCATAATATATCTTCCATTGTACTATTAGTCATGTAAATCAGTGAAACATTGAGTACCTAAATGTAATTATCTTTATTGTTTAACCATTTTTCGGATCAACTAATTGTTTAATACTTTATAAGTCGTAAAGAAATTTTGATGCATAAAGTTATATTTATTAGATTAAATAAATATATCATTATTATTAATCTCTTGTAACCAATTAGTAACTGTACACAATAATGCGATTGTTCAGGATACTGTGTTACTTTTATATTTAACTCTGAAAATTGAGAAACCGATAACATTTAAAATGTAGTCACAAACGTAGAAAAATAGGGATTAAAAAACGATCTATTAAGTTATTCCATATTGTTATGGCCTTAAGTTTCCTCATGAAAAGCGTACATATACAACTCATCCTGTATTGTTTGCTTATTTGAATCTTCCCATTGTTCACTTTGTATTGTTTGCTTGAATCTTCACATTGATGTTAAGGACTGAGATTGATCAGTCTCTTTTTGGCATATTGTGCGGATTGCCTTGATATTGCCTTAAGTCACAAGAATTATAAACAAAGATGGATAATGGCTAACAGTGGAATCGAAGAGGCACGTTTTGTTCTATTTGAGACTTGTCAGCTGGATGTACTTGTACCTCAGAGTTGATGTTCACTTTGGGGCTCGAACCCAGTACAGTTCGCTTCAAACGCCATCGCGTTATCCACTTAGCTTGCATATAATGCTTGTGAATTAAAGCTATATCGAGGCACTCCTCACAGTATGTACATATGCCAATAGGAGACTGATCAATCTCACCCCTAAACATCAAAGGGAAGATTCAAACAAACAATACTAAGTGAATTCAAACTTCACCCCATTGCACAAACAAGTGGCTATCAGGACTGAGTAGCTAAGTGAATAATGTGGTGGCGTTTGAAGTGGACGGTCCTGAGTTCCAGTCCCTGAATGAACATCAACTCTGAGGTGTAGATACGTCCGGCTGACGAGTCCCAAATAGGGTGAAAATCACGTCCTGGATTCCACTGCTAGCCACCATCCATCTTTGCTTATAGCACATACACAACACTGGCTAAATATTTTATTTGATATAAACAGTATGGTAGTATCAACTTAAGTATCAAATTAACAAACCATAACTTGAGTTCAAACAACTAGATTGTACGTAGAAAAAAGACCTATCAAATCAAATGCTTACCGACTAGAAAATCAGGACTGTATGAAATAGTTTTAAGAGTTGCTATGTAGATTTGTCTAACAAAACGGTAATACTAGGCGTTGGAAACAATTTCTACCTCGTTAATTTATTGAAATGAATCAGTAAATCCTAGGATAATAAACATTTATGATAAATTATTAGACTAGAATGCATATTTACTGTGTATCTATAATGAATCTCTAATCTAACCATATTCAAGAGATTTCGTTTGGTCCTATTAGAATTAATTTAATCTCAGGCTGTTAGCCAACCAGGTAAAATTTTATCTGTTGAAGACTTTGATTTATGAGAATTGTTTAATCATTTTAGTGCTCGTGCATCTCCTAACGTTGCTCCACTACCTTGTGGATTA